TGCTAACCACAAGGTCAGCAGTCATTAAGCCGCGAGCCTCTCTTCGAGAGACCGATGAGATCCTCTGCTCCCATAGGATCCCAGTCTTGGAACCCCATAGGGGCAGTTCTACTCTGTCTTGTAGGCTCTCTGTCACTTGGAATCGACTCGCTGGCAGTGGGTTTGGTGAGGGAGTGCAGGACCTAAGGGATGCCCGGGTGGTTTTGATGGGCGTTTTCCTACTGTCTGATAGCGCCGACAGTTGTTCCACGTGCTTGTTCACCATTGGTCTTGACAGGATGTCTTCACGTCACACCTGTCCTTTATCCCGTCAACAGGTTATTTTTACTCTCAAGACCCGGCCCAGATCTGGCGGGTGGCCGAGCAGCTGGACGTTGGCATGGTCGGAGTTAACGAAGGGCTGATCTCCACTGTGGAGTGCCCCTTCGGGGGCGTGAAGCAATCTGGCCTTGGACGAGAAGGGTCCAAGTACGGCATCGATGAGTATCTGGAACTCAAGTATATGTGTTTTGGGGGCTTGTAGGATCCTTCCGCGCTCTACAAGATGAAAAGGAAAGAGGAAACTTACGTACGGACATGGGAACATGCCGTCCATTATCTTCAATACACGTACAGAGTTCTCCTAGGTTATCTGAATGTATGATTTTAATGCTCATCCGGTCCTTGTAACTGTAAAGAGATGTTCCTGCTCCTCCCATCACCCAACTTGGGACCAACATGCGCCACAGGGCCACCGCCGCCGCAGATGCCCGGAGGACCAGCGTTGGGCTGGTGGATCGAAATCCAGGGAGCTCTCGCTGTGAGTCAGGCAGCCCCTCCTGCCTCGACCACCGACCGCATTGCCCCCAGGGAGTGCAGGAAAGCCCACCTCTGACTAACGGGCTGCTCAGGGGGCACAGCACCCCCTTTCCGGGCCACCATCCAGTCACCCATAAAAGCTTATTGTGTATCCACGGTTCTAGAATTACTTGATTCCCCACGTCTACCACCGGATAGATCTGAGTGTGTGTGTGTGTGTGTGTGTGTGTGTGTGTGTGTGTGTGTGTGTGTGTGTGTGTGTGTGGCAAAGTATTTGTCAAGTCCACATTTTTTTTTAGATCCATCGTTCCATTATTGGTAATCCCAGGTTACAAGTGTAGGCATACTTCATTGTATTGCCCTCACTTTCATGCGGTTTGCAGCTCTTGTGCTTGTTTACAAATTGGAGGTTTGCGATCACCTGCATTTAGCAAGGCTCTTGGTGCATTTCTTCAACAGCATGTGCTCACATGTCTGTTTCACATTTTGGTGATGCAGTAATTTGAACTTTTTTTCTAATTGGGGGCTCTTACAGCTCTTATAAAAATCCATACATCAATTGTATTAAGCATATTTCTACATGTGTTGCCATTATTTTCTAAATGTTTTCTTTCTATTGAGCCCTCAGTATCAGCTCCTCTTTTCCCCCCATTTTTTTTACATGTCTAATTGAGTGTGAGTAATTATGTTCACCATGTTAGGCACCCACCACCCCTTCCCTATTCCCCATCACTCAGGACCTCTGGAATCGCACAGAATGGCCATGCTTCTCCGAAGAGTGGAGGGAGAGCACTGACCATTGCCCTTGCCTGGGCCTTCTGGTAAACTGCGGCCACAGCATCTCAAATGTACTGATGGAAGATCTTCCTGTCGGCTCTGGTACCCATTTCATTTCGCTTCCTCCAGGAAACGCGCTGCACCGTCAGGGAAACAGATGGCAGAGGCAGACAGTTAGTTATGAAGGGCCCATGGTAGCCTGGCTGGGCTCCTGCCCGGAGGAGCTTGCTCTCCTTCAGGGTGTGTCATGCTACCACTGTGATGCCATCTTGTGACTCTCAGGGAAAGAGAATGTGCTTTGTAAAAAAAAAAATAAAAGAAAATGCAGTGTAAGTTCTTATTCCCAGCCCTTTGGCACTGGACAATTGCAGTGGGAGTGTCAGTGGCCTGGCCCAGGTGAACCCACCTGCCTGCCCACCCATCTAAGTAAGTGGCTGTCGTATGTAGCCTGCCCTTCCCGTCCTCATGCAGGGCTGCCCCTTCACCTCCAAAACAAAAAAGCATGCCTGCAAATTTTGCCAGGAGCGAGAAGAATGTCCATAATCACCAATTCTGCCGAAGCTCGAATCTCAGGCATCTTTTGCCGGAGAAGTTTCTACCCGCCCACTACTGCCATCGAGTTGATTCCAACTCACAGGGACCCTGCAGGACAGAGTAGAATTGTTCCCTGGGGTTTCCTAGACTTCTCGGGAGCAAAAAGCCTCCTCGTTCTCCCTCGGGGGTAACTGGTGGGTTTAAACTGCTGGTTAACGGCACAACCCTCTAAACCAGCGGTTCTCAACCTGTGGGTCACGACCCCTTTGCGGTCGAAGGAATTGGGGTCGCCCGATTCATAACAGAATTACAGTTATGAAGCAGCAATGAAAATAATTTATGGTTGGGGGGGTCCCCACAACATGAGGAACTGTATTAAGGATTGCGGCATTAGGAAGGTTGAGAACCTAGACTGCCAGGCAGCACTCCTCGGAAGATTATCTACAGTCATCACAGAAAGGCCCTCAACCCAGAAGAGAGAAAGTGAGTAACTGCAGTGTGGACTTTCTGGACTTCTCTGCCCTCCCGGCTGTCCCTGCCTGTCAAAGAGCAGGAAAGAAGGCTGGGTCGAGCTGAACAGACCAAGTGACGTTCCTTCTGGTCTTTCCGCATGCATCCAGGCCCCAGACCTGGGCAATGCAAGGAAAACAGGAATGGAAGCAGTTCCTCCTGAATCTCATTCAGTACGTAGAATCCCTCCCTGACGTTTTGGGGCATCTGGGGTTGAAGAAAGGGTCTAAAAGCCCATGTGCACCTAGGAATGGCTGCCAACCCTACAGCTGCTTCCCAATCTACATGGTTTCCCTAGCCACATCGCAAGGCCCAGAAACGAAGAGGTGAACTGAAACTAGCTGCCCAGTAACACTGCCCAAAGATCTCTGAGTGGGTGCCACACATCATTTGACTACTAACTGAAAGGCTGGTAGTTCGAACCCACCTAGCAATATCAAGAAAGGCCCCACCAACGTGCTTCCATACAGGTGACAGCCAAGAAACCCCGAGGGAGCAGTTCCACTCTGTAACACAGAGGGCGCTGGCGGGTCAGAACTGACTCCTTGGCCTTGGGAACTGCTGCCCAAGCCCCAAGAATCACATGCTTAGCATACTACTGACCATTAGGTTCTACTCTAGTTTTCTTAGTCTTTAGGTTTTATGTGAGGTTATAATCTAACATTGTGTTTTAGAAATCTGGTATACCGATGGTAGAATCTCTGGAGAAATGCTTCCAAATACACCTTCAAGCTTGTGAGGCAGTGCGTTCTCTGAACGGATGCCAAGTCTGCGTTTGCTTGGCTCACTGGGTACCTAATCTGATTATCAGCACTGCAGTATCTTTAACAGCTTTTGTAAATAAAGTTAATATTTTTTTGGTTCTTTTTGGGAAATATAGCCTTATGTGACTTGGGTTTTGTTGTGTTTTTTTTTAGTATGTTTTATACCAAGAAACAGGAAGGGCCGTTAGAGGAAGGGTGGGAAACTGGTTAAGAATGGCTTTTCCATTTTCAAATGGCTGGGGCAAGAATCAAAAGAACAATATTCCATGACACATGAAAGGGAGAGAAAATGTGGATTTCAAAGTGGCAAGTTTTTGTTTTTAATCGCTTTATTGGGGGCTCGTACAACTCTTATCACAATCCATACATGCATCCATTGTGTCAAGCACATTTGTACATTTGTTGCCATCATCATTCTCAAAACATTTGCTTTCTACTTCAGCCCTTGGTATCAGCCCCTCATTTTGCCCCTCCCTTCCTACTCCCCCCTCCCTCATGAACGCTTGATAATTTATAAATTATTATTATTTTGCCATATCTTACACTGTCCTACATCTCCCTTCACCCAATTTTCTGTTGTCCATCCCCCAGGGAGGAAGTTATACGTAGATCCTTATAATCGCTTTCCCCTTTCCACTCCACCCTCTTGGTATCGCAACTCTCAGCACTGGTCCTGAAGGGGTCATTGTCCTGAATTCCCTATGTTTCCAGTTCCTATCTGTACCAGTGTACATCCTCTGGTCTAGTCAGATTTGTAAGGTAGAATTGGGATCATGATAATGTGTGTGTGTGTGGGGGTGGTGGTGGTGAAGCATTTAGGAACTAGAGGAAAGTTGTATGTTTCATTGTTGCTACACTGCACCATGTCTGGCTCATTTACTCTCCGAGACACTTCTGTAAGGGGGTGTCCAGTTGCCTACAGATGGGTCTTGGGTCCGCAATCTCTACTCCCCATCATTCACAATGGTTTGATTTTTGTTCTTTGATGCTTGATACCTGATCCCTTCTACACCTCGTGATCACACAGGCTGGTGTGCTTCTTCCATGTGGCCTTTGTTGCTTCTGAGCTAGATGGCTGCTTGTTTACCTTCAAGTGTTTAAGACCCCAGACGCTGTATCTTTTGATAGCTGGGCTCCATCAGCTTTCTTCACATTTGCTTATGCACCTGCTTTGTCTTCAGCCAGTTTAATAGAACAAAGTATTCTTTCATTGAGGGAGTACTTGAATGGAGGCCCAATGTCCATCTGCTACCTTAATACTAAACTTTTAAAATATATGCACATAGATCTATTTCCCCATCATCAGATATAAATATAT